AAACAAATCATGTGCTATGCAACTCACAGTCCACAAACCCCGCTCCAGTCAGCATTTTGGGCTCCCATCCTTAAATGTGATCAGATAACCAAGATTCCAGATACCCGAGGAAAGCCTCTAACAGAGAAAATAGAGACTCAAACCAACATGTGGTGAAGGGAGAGCTTGGAGGAAACAAGGAGTATACATGAAGAAGAGAACATTAAGAGAAGCTATGTGGTCAGGAAACAAGAACACGGTACTACATTGTTTAAAAAGGAAACTTCAGAGAATAAAAAAGAGCTTTTGGAAATTAAAATATGAGAGTAGACATGAAAACTCCAAAGGAAGACTGGAAAATAAAACTGAGGAAACCTAAAAATCAGAGCAAAAATACAAGATTGAAAATAAGAGGGAAAAAAAATAGACTACAAGGACAGGAAATCTACTATCTGAGGAAAACATGTTCCAGATAGAACAGAGGAAACAGACGAGAAAAGCATCGCTGAAATAATTCAGAAACATTTCCCAGAACTGAAGAAGGAGAATTTTTAGACTGAAAGGGTTCACTGAGTGTCCAACACAGTGGATGAAAGTCGGCTCACACCAAGATACCTCATTGTGGAACTTCAAACACTGGGATAATTCAAGATCCTAAAAGCTTTCAGAGAGAAATAAATCAGGTCACACAGAAATGATCAGGACTCAGAATAGCTCCAGACTTCTCACTAATAGCGATAGAAACCTAAAAGACCATGGTGCAATGCCTTCAGGTTTTAAGGAAAATTATTTCTGACCTAGAATTCTATATCCAGCAAAACTACCTTTAATCAAGTGTAGGGCCGAATAAGGCTATTTTCAGACATGTGAGATTTCAGAAAGTTCGTTTCCTTCATGGTTTCTTTCTCAGGAAGCTACTGGAGATGATGTTCTACCAAAATGAGGGGGTAGACCAAGAAAAGGAAGACGTGGTATACAGAGAGGTGAGGAGACACGCAGAGGAACACAAAGGGGGATCTCAGGAAGCCAGCCAAGCACAGAGAGCAGCTCGCTCACACTGAAGCAGGGCAGAAGCCCTGGCAGGACAGATCCCAAAATAGAAAACTCACCAGATTCACACTGGTCTGGACTTTAGGAGATGAGATTTAGGTAACCGGCAGAATGTGAGGTTGAATGTGATAAGTTTGTAGAAACTAAGCAAATGTAAAAATGACAATAATTAACTCAAGGGGAAAAAAAAGTGCTGAAAAGTAAAAGTAAGCAAAGTCAGCTAGCTGATTCCACCCTGAATAGTGTTTGCAGAGTAAAAATAATGCAAACACTGAAGATCGCTTTCATCAAGCATATACTATTGCTTTTAGGATGATGGGGAGATGGAAGAGGTGCATGTGTGTGCTGTAGGGGGTGGGGAAAAAAGGGAGGCTAAGTGCCCATCCTCCTGAGAGATAAGTAAGTAAGTAATGCCAAAAACAGAAAAGATCAAGAAGCAGTAATGCATGCATATTATTAGACACATAGAGGTAGCCACCGAAGACATTGAAAATGATTTTCTTTTAGGGTGTGAGTTATGGGGATAGGGGTTGTGGAATGCTCTTTTTTATAGCAAATCTTGTCCTATGTTGGGCTGTTCATATGAACTGTGTTTATATATAACTTTAATAAAAACTAAAAATTAAGAACTGTTAAACATTAGGGCAAGACAGTATTTTAAGTCCTATTGGATTCTTGTAGTAGGGCCAGGCGCGGTGGCTCATGCCTGTAATCCCAGAACTTGGGGGGCCGAGGCAGGTGGATCACTTGAGGTCAGGAGTTTGAGACCAGCCTGGTCAACATGGTGAAACCCTGTCTCTACTAAAAATACTACAGTTAGCTGGGCGTGGTGGTGGGCACCTGTAATCCCAGCTACTCGGGAAGCTGAGGCAGAAGAATAGCTTGAACCTGGGAGGCAGAGGTGGCAGCGAGCCGAGTTCACGCCACTGCATTCCAGCCTGGGCAACAGAGGGAGACTCCATCTCAATTAAAAAAAAAAAAGTTCTCATAATAGAGGATAGTGAAGGGATGCAGACACAAAGGAGAGGCTACTGACCTGTTTTCTTGATTGGAGTGCTGATTGCTTGAGCGTGTTTCTTTTGTGAAAAATCCTCAAGCTGTACATACATGATGTGTGCACTTCTATGTATGTATTTTTTACCCCAACCAACCATTTACTTACAAAATGGTAAGTAACAGGCTACATCTCGTGTCAGCGGCTTTAGGTACAAATTGTGCACTTCACAGTGGTACTCCAGAGTGTAAACATTAAAGCTCCTGGTGGCCCAGTTGGCGAGAATCTCTTCTTTTTGGCATCCTTTGTCTCCAGGATTTCTGGGCATGCCCAAGGAACACGATGCATGCCTCAAGTCAGCCTTGGCATGACTGGTCCCCACAGCCAACCTCTCCCTGTCTGAGTCACGTCTTGCCATTTTTACAGGCTCTTCCATGCTGCTGCCACAGTTGCCTCAACATTGCCGCACAGTACAGACCCACATCCAGAGGCACAGCCTGATGAGCAGGGTGGTTGGCAGGACAGGGTGCTCATAGAACAGACATCCCCCGCTCCACCCCAGACCCTTTGAGGACCTTTCTGTGTGTATTCCCAGGTTATTGCCACCCTGACTACTCCTGTCTTCTTTCACCCTGTTATTACTGTGGATCAGTGAGTGATAAATGGTGTTAACTGTCTTAATATTTTATTGAAAGTATCTATTTGGGAAATACAGCAGGTCCTCAAATAACATCATTTTGTTCAAGGTCATTTTATTATAACATGATAATATTATAACCTCCCTACATTGTGTGCTTAAGGTGATACCTCCAACTAAATATCCAGCCAGGTCTGTCCCTGAAATCCCGAAGTCCAGCAAAGACCAAAGGAATTAGACACCAGGAGATGAAAGCTTTAAATTGGCAATAAAACATCTCTGTACATGGATTCCCTGTTCCATGCTTGAGACAAAGGCTACAAGGCTCTTGCCACCCCAGCATTGTCCTCACTCATCTCTTCTGGTAAACCTCGGTCGTCTTCTTCTCCATCATCATTATCATTGTAAATTCAGCAGAAATGCAACACTTCCTGTGGTGCCAAACATCTTTTATGTTATTATGCAGAGTAGTTTTCTCTTTCCCCAAACTTCCAAATATTACATTTTAATGCCTTATGCATAACCAAAAGGCCTATTAAAATATTTTTAAAGAAAGCCAAACCGTAGCATTCCCCTCAAGACTGTCATGCCTACCTCCAGACACTGAAAATTGTTAGCAATCACCAAATAAGCTTCTCTATCCTCAGAAAAACCCAGATCTCAGCAGGTGATCTGGCTACATGTGAACATTAAAGAGTGTTCAGATGATAGCCAGGCACAGTGGCTCACACCTGTAATCCCAGCACTTTGGGAGGCCGAGGTGGGCAGATCACCTGCGGTCAGGAGTTTAAGACCAGCCTGGTCAATATGGTGAAACCTTGTCTCTGCTAAAAGTACAAAATTATCTGGGCGTGGTGGAGCGCACCTGTAATCCCAGCTACTCAGGAGGCTGAGACAGGAGAACAGCTTGAACTCAGGAGGCGGAGGTTGCAGTGAGCTGAGATTGTGCCACTGCACTCCAGTCTGGGCAATAGAGTAAGACTTCATCTCAAAACATACAAAAGAAAAGAAAAGAAAAACCCAGATCTCAGCAGGTGATTTGGCTACATGTGAACAGGAAAGAGTGTTCAGATGCTAGTAGGTAGACAGGGGAGGTGATGAAATGGTTCCTGCAGTGTGATTAAGGACTCAGGACTCACAGGAGAAATACTTCTCTGGCCTCTTGACCAAGAATAACTGTTCTTTTCTGAACAGTGGGATTGTGTTTACCTTAAGGACACCACAAGTCTTATATCTAGTCCTATTTCCCCCTCACATTACCAGTTATGAGGCTCAGAGCCTGTCGCCAGTTTGTTTCCTTATCCTTATTTTCTCTTTGTCTCGTTTTCCTTAGTTTAAATGTATTTTACTATGTAGTGTTCACTTTCATAAGCCTTAAAATCCTTTTTCAAGACATAAATAAATACTATTTTTAAAATATAGTAAGGTTACAACTACACGACAGAACCATGGGTATATACTGGAAGGCAACCTGGGAAAAAGATAATTGCATTAGGGTGGTAAGATTATGTGTAATTTATTTTCCTTTTCAACATTAATATTATAAAGTACAATCAACAATACTTTTAGTTATTTTTTTCTGATTGTTAAAGCATATGTTTACTGTTTTTTTAAAAAAGAAAAGATAAAAATATAAAGATGATAATATCATTTACCATCTAACTCTCTAGATATCAGTGTTCTCTTTGGTATTTTTTTTCAGTCTTTTTAAAATGCATATGTGTGTGTATATTTGGAAACTGCATATTTTCCAAATTTAAATTATTCTTTTTTTTTTTGAGACGGAGTCTCACTCTGTCACCCAGGCTGGAATGTGATGGCGAGATTTCAGCTCACTGCAACCTCTGCCTCCCAGGTTTAAGCAATTCTCATACTTCAGTCTCCTGAGTAGCTGGGACTACAAGCGCCCGCCACCATGCCCAGCTAATTTTTGTATTTTTAGCAGAGACAGGATTTCCCCACATTGGCCAGGCTGGTCTTAAACTCCTGATTTCAAGTGATCCCCCTGCCTCAGCCTCCCAAAGGACGGGTATTACAAGCTTCAGCCACCATGCGTGGGCCCAAATATAAATTATTCTTTACACTTTTTTTGTAAACTTGCTTTCACATAATGAGTTTTGACATTTTCCCTTGTCGTTCAATATTCTTCATCCTCATTTTAAGTTGTGTAGTCCCCATTTACGCATGTACCATCTTTATGTAATAAATCCCCCTTTGTTGAACATTCAGGTTGTTCACTTTTAGTCCTTCCTTTCTAGGTTTATTTAGATGGCCAATGAGTCAACTTTGCTGAAATCTGTTTCTTCTACTGATATTCTTGTTTTTCTTTTTTCCTTACAGTGGTCTCTGGTTCATCATCCAGCTCTAAGTATGACCCTGAGATCCTGAAAGCTGAAATTGCCACTGCAAAATCCCGGGTAGGACCTCTTCACCTATGCTATGTGCTAGTGATGGTTGCCACTGAGGTCTTAGGCCACAAGCCCACCCACAAGGCCAGAACAGATGCTTCAGCCAGGCTATGACAGCCAGTGCTAGCAAGGCCCTAAATAATAACAGTAGAAGCAGTAGTCACAGTAATAGTAATGGTTGTAGCAGCTGCCATTTCACAAGCAGTCACCATATACCAGGCACAGTGCGAAATACCTCATGTGTATTTTCCCATGTCCTTGCAACAACTCTGTGAAATAACTACTGTCATCTGCATTTTTAAAATTTATTTATTTTTATTTATTTATTTATTTTTTGAAACAGAGTCTTACTCTGTCGCCCAGCCTAGAGTGCAGTGGTGTGATCTTGGCTCACTGCAAACTCCGCTTCCTGGGTTCATGCCATTCTCCTGCCTCAGCCTCCCGAGTAACTGGGACTTACAGGCGCCCGCCACCATGCCTGGCTAATTTTTTGTATTTTTAGTAGAGACGGGGTTTCACCACGTTAGCCAGGATGGTCTCGATCTCCTGACCTCATGATCCACCCGCCGTGGCCTCCCAAAGTGCTGGGATTACAGGCGTGAGCCACTGCTCCCAGCCGCATTTTATTTTATTTTATTTTATTTATTTATTTTCTGAGACGGGGGCTCACTGTGTCACCCAGGCTGGATGGAGTACAGTGGCGCAATCTTGGCTCACTGCAACCTTCGCCCTCCCAGGTTCAAGCAATTCTCTTATCTTAGTCTCCCGAGTAGCTGGGATTACAGGCACACGCCACCATGCCCAGCAATTTTTGTATTTTTAGTAGAGATGGGGTTTCACCATGTTAGTCAGGCTGGTCTCAAACTCCTGACCTCAGGTGATCCACCTGCCTCGGCCTCCCAAAGTGCTGTGAACACAGGCATGAGCCACCACCAAGCTGTCATCTGCATTTTAAAGATGAGCAAACAGAGGCTTAGGGGAGCTAAGAAACTGGCCCAAGGTCACAAGAGATTCAAGTCTTACTCCAAAGTTTCTAATATAGTGTACTGTCTTCCTAGCTACTGATTATTCTACATTATCTTATTTTAATTACTTCATGATTACCTTAGGGAATAAATATTAGTATTTCCATTTTTACCAGTATGGAAACTGAGGCACAGCAGTGAAATTATTTGCTCATGGCAAAGTCAGTATTTTGAAAAGTGGTTTTGTTAAACTCAAAGAATTTAACAGTTTTCACAAACTCAAATGCCTGCAAGAAGACATAAATGAGGGATGTGGGCTGGGGGTGAGGCAGTAGAGAGTCGTGGTGACTGTGTAACCAGGAGAGGTCTGCCCAGTCTTAAAGGTAATTGCATTTGAATTCTAGTCTGTTGTGCCCGTGCTGGAATGTGGGTTCAGTGTTACCAGATCTTCAGATGTTTTCAGAAAGGAACTATGTGTCTAGGTTTATCATATGAACTTTCTGAAGATTTGATTATTAGCAACTCATTTTAAAAGTTGAATAATACAGTGTAAGCCACACAAACCAGCAGACCTTGCCTAGCTCCTAGGGCACGTCTTGCCACTAAAGTTACTACATTGCCTCTTGCCTCCACGTGAAGCACTCTCATGGCCTCTGCCAGCTTTAAGTGATCCACGGCCCTGGGAATTGCCATTGTCCTCATCCATCAGAACAGGAAAGGGAGGCTCAGGATGGCAAGATGGCTTGAGAGAGGTCACACAGCAGGGAAGTGGGAAGGCCCACTCTATCCCAGGTCAGCTCCTGTCCACCTCCTGTTTCCCTGGAGCAAGGACTGGCTAGGAATGACCTATAGAAACACTGTCTGGGATGTTGACTGAATGGGCATCTGCAGAGACCAAGGCCAACATCGGTGATGGGAGGGGGCTCTGACCAGTGTGGCCCGATGGGTGCTGACCTGAGTCATTATGCAGGTGCAGTGGGAGGCTCTGCATTCCCCTTCTAGGGAGAAGGCAGCCTGCACCTTGCTGTCAGCCTCTGACTCAGCCCCGTGTATGGTCTGCTGCCCTCCAGGTCAACAAGCTGAAGAGAGAGATGGTTCACCTCCAGCACGAGCTGCAGTTCAAAGAGCGTGGCTTTCAGACTCTGAAGAAGTAAGTGCACCCTGTGTCGCAGAGCATGGGGGCTGCTCCCCACCCAGGCTCCCCTCCTGCCCTCTCTGTCTCTCTCTCCTTCAATCCTTTTCCTCTCTTCTCAAAATGTGGCTCTCTCATCATTCAAGTTCTATTCCACTGGCATTTTCTGAAGATACTGCCACCCAAGAGTGGGATTTGGAAAGAGGAAAGGGGAGTCATTTCAGACCACAGAACTCTCATTGTTCTGTGGACTTCTGAAGCCATTAAGATCTGTTCCACTCAGCCGAGTGTTACTATCCAGTCACAGAAACAAGCACTGCCGAGCATTTCTGTGCACACGCCTCATCTCTAGTCGATCCAGTAGGGTCCCATATGCACGCAAACAAAACACACTCCTTTCTTCCACATCCCCTAAAAGCACTCACTAAGTGCTTCATTGAAGGAATAATGATCTCTTCTAGCGAAAACCAATTACCAGAAAAGTATGCACGATGCCATGTACATTGTGCTCTATGGGTGACTTAAGGAGTTTCCAGGATAACTTTAACCAAATATAATTTTCACCTTTAGAAGCTGAGCTGTGGCCAGGTAAAATACAGCTCTGTTGTGTCTTCGTCTTCTCTTTTTTTTTTTTTAACTTATATTTTAACTTCGGGGTACATGTGCAGGTTCGTTATACAGGTAAACTTGTGTCATGGGGGTTGGTTGTACAGATTATTTCATCACCCAGGTATTAAGCCTAGTACCCATTAGTTATTTTTCCTGATCCTCTCCCTTCTCTCACCCTCCACCCTCCCAGAGGCCTCAGTCTGTGTTTTTCCCCTCTATGTGTCCATGTATTCTCATCATTTAGCTCCCACTTACAAGTGAGAACATGCAGTAGCTTTGTTGTTTTTTTTTTGGAGATGGAGTCTCACGCTGTCACTCAGGCTGGAGTGCAGTGGCGCGATCTCAGCTCACTGCAAGCTCCGCCTCCTGGGTTCAAGCAATTCTCCTGCCTCAGCCTCCCGAGTAGCTGGTACTGCAGGCGCCCACCACCACGCCCAGCTAATTTTTTTGTATTTTAGTGGAGATGGGGTTTCACCATGTTAGCCAGGATAGTCTCGATTTCCTGACCTTGTGATCCACCCACCTCGGCCTCCCAAAGTGCTGGGATTACAGGCGTGAGCCACCATGCCTGGCACTTTGTTGTTTCTTAAGAGTAGTTGTGGCCGGGCGTGGTGGCTCACACCTGTAATCCCAGCACTTTGGGAGGCTGAGGCAGGTGGATCACAAGGTCAGGAGTTCGAGGCCAGCCAGGCTAAGATGGTGAAACCCTGTCTCTACTAAAAATACAAAAATTAGCCAGGCACAGTGGCAGGTGCCTGTAATCCCAGCTACTCAGGAGGCTGAGGCAGGAGAATCGCTTGAATCAGGGAGGCAGAGCTTGCAGTGAGCTGAGAATGTGCCACTGCACTCTAGCCTGGGCAACAGAGCAAGACTCCATCTCAAAAAAAAAAAAAAAAAAAAAAAAGAGTAGTTGTGTTACCTGTCCTGATTGTGACTATACTAGCTAAGCTTTGTCGAGCAGTTACTCTGTGCCAGAGAACCCCTGCAGTGTTTCCATGCAAGTGTGCTCCTTTGATCCTACAGCAACACTATAAGGAATGCTTTGTTATCTAACTACCCACATTTTATAGATGAGAAAACGGAGTCACTTAGCAGGTACTCAAGAAAGGTTAGCTTATTGTGGCTGGGCACGGTGGCTCAGACCTGTAATCCCAGCACTTTGGGAGGCCAAGGTGAGAGGATCGCTTGAGCCTGTGAGTGGGAGGTTGCAGTGAGCTGATTGCACACTGCACACCAGTCTGAGTGGCAAAGTGAGACCCTGTCTCGAAAGAATGAAAGAGAGAGAAAGAGAAGAGGAGGGGAGGGGAGGGAGGAAGGAAGGAAGGAAAGAAGGGAGGGAAGAAGGAAGGAAGGAAAGGAAACAGAAAGAACGAGAGAGAAAGAAAAAGCCCTCCAGTCTGGGTGACAAAGTAAGACCCTCTCTCCAAAGAAAGAAAGAGAGAAAGAAAGGAAGGAAGGAAGGAGAGAGAAAGAAAGAGAAGGAAAGAGAGAGAGAGAGAGAAAGCCCTGCAGTCTGGAGACAAAGTGAGACCCTGTCTCGAAGAAAAGGAAAAAAAGGAAGAGAAGAAAGAGAGAGAGGGGGAGAGAAAGAAATTAAGAAAGGGAGAGAGAAAGATGTTAGCTTATTGTTATTATTAACTACAGCATGTAACTGAGACTCATTCATTGAATTGTGTTCAGTGTATCCAATGGGCTCACTGGACAATCATTACGAAGGTCACCTGGTAGCCCTCTCAGAAGCTCTAGGCAGGACACTCGGCAGATTTCTGCCTTCCAAGGGGGCATCTCACTTACCTTCCCAGGGAGGCCACACCTGCATGGATGGCTATTTCTTGCTTTTTGTCTCTCCCTGACTACTATACCTTTTCCTCATTCCATGAATTTCAAATCTACCCTCATCATTCTGTGGCCATAGCCCCAAGCCTTTGGGTGTCTATACACATGCTATAAGAAATATGTATATGGCTTTATATTATTACAAATTGTCTGTAATTTTTGTGTCTTACAAAGTATGGCTTTCTATATGTTTACATCTTTGTTATATACATGTTATTCATATATGTGTATATACATATACCAATCTTGTCTCTCAAACCAGTTTCTGAATTGTTAAGACCTGGAACCATGCTTTATGCTTCTTGGTAATCTTCAGTAGCACCAATGACAGTTTGGAGCAATAGTTATAAGCTTAGAAAATGCCTATTTTTGACCTATTAAAGCAATAGCCTGATTCCTCCACTTTGCAGCAAAACAGCTTCTGAGCACACAGTTTAAGGGCTACTCACTCCCGTCATCTGACTGAATGGGTTCTCCCTGCCTCCTGGCTCCTGCAGTCCTCAAGAGCTTCTGGTTAGAACACTTCCCATTATTCTCTGAGCCACCGCAAACCTGTTTTACCACTTTGTCACCCTGTAGCAGCATTGAAAACTCTTGTTGTTTGGTAAGCTGATGCTGAAACCCCAAAGACAAGTCTCCTTTCTTCCCCTCTCCGTCTGCCCCATGTTTGATATCAGGCCCAGATAAGACTCCATGGCAGCTCCAGCCGCCCACACTCCTTAGCCGGAAGCCGGGCTCTGCGTCCAGTGTGGAGGAAGATGCCTCCTTTAATGTACACCTTGGCAGAGAGAGTCAGGGATGTAGTCTTGAGAGGCAGGTGGTCAGGGTTCAAATCCCAGTTCCCTGGGTCCTTGGAAAAGTGACTTAACCCCTGTGAGCTTTGAGTTCATTTGAAAAACTAGGGGTTGTAAAGGTTGAATTGGAAAATCCGTGTCAAGTGTGTGGTAGTGTCTGGCATGAGGGAAGGGCTCCTTGAGAGTGGGCTGGGGTGGTGACCTCTAGCTGGTTGCCTGCTTGTATTGGGAAGGGAACTCGGATGAACTCTACGTCTGCCCTGGGCTAGACGGTGTGCCGGGGAAGCACTTCACACCAGCCACCTCATTTCATTCTCTTCACCCCCTTTTAAGAGAAGTTTCTGTCCTGCCATATATCACAGATGAGGGCACTGGCGGGGTTGAAAACATGCCCAGAGCCACCCAGCTTGCAGGTGTCAGGGCTAGGGCTGAAACCCAGGACTACTGGATTTTGAAGTTCATGTCTCAATACCTCTCTTCCCAGCATCATCCCAGATAACTCCCTCCTCATTCCCAGAAAATGTAAGGCCTCTTTTTCAGAGTCTAACAGATACTATCCAGTCACTTCTACTTCTGTGCCTACTCTTATGGCAGAACATGGGGAAAGGTACAACTTATCCTTAAGGAATTTCCAGGATAACTTTAACCACATGTGATTTCCCCTTTTAGAAAATTTCTCTTTAGCAGCCAAAAGCTCTGTTGTTTCTTTCTTTTTAGACAGAGTCTCACTCTGTCACCCAGGCTGGAGTGCAGGGGCACGATCTCGGTTCACTGCAACCTCCACCTCCCAGGTCCAAGCGATTATCCTGCCTCAGCCTCCTGACTAGCTGGGATTACAGGCACATGCCACTATGCCTGGCTAATTTTTTATATTTTTAGTGGAGATGGAGTTTCACCATGTTAGCCAGGATGGTCTCAATCTCCTGACCTGGTGATCTGCCCACCTAGGCCTCCCGAAGTGCTGGGATTACAGGCGTGAGCCACCATGCCCGGCCAGCTCTGTTGTTTTTTAAGAGCAGCTATGTCACCTGTCATGATTGTGATGATACCAGTTAAGCTTCCTTGGGCAGTTGAGTTACTCTGGGCCACGAATCCATATTGGTTCAATTCATAGTCAGCAACCTGTTTAAAAAAGAGAGAAGGGAAAAGGTTGATGAGGATTAAAAGTTGCCTCTTGGAGGAGGTTGTAAAGAAAAATCAAGATGAAAGCTTGGGACTTTGACTTGCCAGCTCCCTTTCTAATAGGGAAGAGTGGAGACCAGGCATCTCCCCCTATGGGAGGAGGGCAGTGCAGCGCCTCGCCCTGCCGTGCCCAGGTAGGAGGTGTCTGGACAGGACCAGGAGTCGGCTGCTGTCAGCCTTTGCCCCACCTCTCTGTGGCTACCGGGTGTGTGAATCTCTAAAGGCCTGAAGAGAAGACAGCTGAGGGATTTGGAAATCCTAAAACACATGCATCCCCACATACACACACACACACACACACACACTTTTCTTTCCCTTAAAAAAAAAAAAAAAAAAAAGATTCATTCACCGAGCGTATAATGGTGACCCTTTGTTCTCCCCTCACCCCCTCCCCACCCAGCTTCGTCCCAAGAGTGTTCCCTCTCAGGGCTGCTCTCTGGAGCCAAATTCCAGAGGCCAGGTTGCTAAGGCCCTTGAAGAAATCAGGTAGAGGCTGTCGGAAGCCCAGCAGACAAACCGCTTCTGTCTCATCCTGCCAGGGATTCCAAGCCATTCTCGCCCTGTTGACAGAGGACAGCTGGGCACAGCCCCCTCCCCAGAGTCCCCAGCCCTCGGACATGCTCCAACAAACAATGTCTCCCTGCACCTCCTATGCCCATCTGCAGCAGGGCCACTGCCTGTCCCGGACACTGGCTCTGGGGAGCCTCCTTGCCACGGAGCATCTTCTAAGCTCCCTCAGACTAATTTTTCAGACTAAATCTGGGGCCAGTCCTTGCCGACCTGATAGGCCTGCCCAGGCCCGAGTCCTGGAAAAGAATAGACGGGCTATTTTTAGTGGGGAGACATAAACGGGGCTTTGTTTTCTCTCCTTGGAGGCTGAAGTAACCGCAGAGGGAGGCTGTGTTGAGACCTCGCTCCATGCCTGCTCTCTCCTCTGCTCAGAGGCGCAGACGATGAGGCCAGGATGAAAACCTGCTCGTGCTCAGGATTCCCCATGAGGGTTATTTTTAGCCCAGGACAGTTTGGCCTGTAGCAGAAAACCACAAAGGAATGCCTGTGAGCAGTTTCTCATGCTGAAATAATGAGTTTGTGGTGTTCCCGCAGACTGTAAAACTCCTTTTTCTCCACCTTGGACTGAAACCTCAGGCCTAGCCTTTGGCGAAAGTGTGATGTAGTTAAAATGCATCTCTGTCCCCAGAACCTTTTTGACACCTCGGCCCTCTTTCTCCAGAAGCTCACCCCTGCCTGTCTGGTTTGGTCTGACCTTCAGAAAACTACATCAGGATCCCCCCCCCTTTTTTTTTTTAATATTTCCGCCATCAAAATGAACCTGTATGTAAGGCCTGGATAAGCGAATAAGCTCTCCAGGCTAGAAACGTTTTAATCCCTTATGTTTGTACAGTAATTCCTAGTTTATCACAAGATGTTCCATCCCGTATTCCATTTGATGTTCCTGACAACTCCATGAATGTGGGTTAGGCGGATAACGTTTTCCAGGCTTTTTAGAGGAGCAAACCGAGGCTCTGTGTGTTTGAGAGACGACCCCAGGATCATCCTACTAATGGGTAGTAGGGCTGGGAGTTTTTCATCCTTCTGTCCTTTTCTTCATTGTGTTCATTAGCTCAACACATGCTTATTAAAGACAGTGGTTCTTGACCAGCATGATTTTGCTCCCTCTCCCTCAACAGACATCAGGTAATACTTCGGGATATTTTCAGTTGTCACCATTCAGGGTGAGGGTACCAACAGCATCCTGTGGGGCAAGGCCAGGGAGGCTGCTAAACATCATACAATGCACAGGACAGCCTGCCCTCCCTCCAAAAAAGAGTGAGACAAACATGTTCAACTCTGCCTCCTGTTCCCAAGCCTCCCAGAGTCAAGTCAAAGATGCTACCACATAAACTATGATACATAAACTGTCACACAATGTAATGACTGCAGAGTCACAGCTATGTGTGATGTATATGGGAAGCTCCTACCCAGCCTGGAGGACCCAGGGAAGTAATCAGGAAAGGTTTCCCTTAAGAGCTGATGTTTAGAGGACACTGACTTCATGAGCAATGTTGCTTCTGCACCCCCACACATTGGCTGTATAACAGGAACCTTCTCTGCCTTTTTTTTTTTTTTTTTTCCTTTTCTTTCTTTCTTTTTTTTGAGACAGAGTCTTGCTCTGTCTCCCAGGCTGGAGTGCAGTGGCGTGATCTCGGCTCACTGCAACCTCTGCCTCCCGCGTTCAGACAATTCTCGTGCCTCAGCCTCTCAAGCAGCTGGAATTACAGGCACATGCCACCATGCCCGGCTAATTTTTGTACTTTTAGTAGAGACGGGGTTTCACCATGTTCCTCAGGTTAGTCTTGAACTCCTGACCTCAAGTGATCCACCTGCCTTGGCCTCCCAAAGTGTTGGGATTATAGGTGTGAGCCACCATGCCCAGCCCGGGACCTTCTGTGCCTTATCCCACAAGTGGGACCTACGGAGGCAGGATTAGCAGGACAGAGGGAGGGGCCTTCTTAAGGAACTGAAGTCCTGTGGTCTGTGCTTTTCCCCTGGGGAGACCCTGTCCCTCACCCTATCTAAGGCTGACCTTTCCCATTAACTGTCTCCTAGAATCGATAAGAAAATGTCTGATGCTCAGGGCAGCTACAAACTGGATGAAGCTCAGGCTGTCTTGAGAGAAACAAAAGCCATCAAAAAGGCTATTACCTGTGGGGAAAAGGAAAAGCAAGATCTCATTAAGGTATGCAAGTTCCTGTTGATGTGGGTGCCATCTTGATTTCTCCTGAGTATTCCTGTATGCCAGTCTTACGCGGACTATTTCTACATGGTACACACATTGCTGAATTCTCATTACCAGTCTTCCTGGGGTTTTGGTTCCATTTCATAGAGGAGGACGTGGAGGCTCAGAAGCATTAAGTGACTTGCATAAGGTCACACAGCTAGTGTAAATGGCAGAGTTGGAATGGAATTCATCTGGCCTAGTCCAAAGGCCACATCCTTGCCACTAGCTTTAATTACCTGACTTATTTTTTCTTTGTTTTTTTTAACTTTTATTTTTTAATAGAGGGAGTCTTGCTATGTGGCTCAGGCTGCTCTTGGTAACTGCTGGGCTCAAGTGATTCTCCCACCTTAGCCTCCCAAAGTGCTGGGATTACAGGCGTGACCCAGTGCACCTGGCCTCTGACTTATTTTTCAAAGAATCCAATGGAGAGAGGTGGTTTCAACATCATTAACCTTTGACATCAAAATGTAGCATCTCTATAAGCATTTCATTGTGTGTTCTGCCTCTATGCTGGGAACTGAACAAATTATAATAGATATTATGTAATGTGCCAGGTGATTATGCCAAGCCTTTTGCATGCATCATGTCTCATCTCTTAAATCAACCCTAGTTTATCCCCATCCTACAGAAAAAAGACTGTACAACTCAGAGAGGAAGCTAGAGCCATGATTCAAACCTGTGAACCCCTGACTCACAGACCCATCCTCTTACCCCCTGTACATATCACCTCTGCTTCCAGGAACCACCCTGACCTCAGATATTTCACTGGCAGATTAGGAGTCCTCAGAGATGCTGTAAATGACTTAGTGGAGGAAGCCGTATGCGCTATGACAAACAGAACAGTTTCGAAGCTCCCGCCCAGGACAGCAGCCCAGTGAAAACATTTAGATGAGGACCTCATGGACAGTGAGCCATGTTCCTGTTCTGATTAGTAGTTGAGATCGCAGAGCCTTAAGCCAGATAGACCAGGTCCAAATCTTGCCTCGGTCAATTGCCAGCTTCTCATCAAGAAACTGGGGATAATCATAGGTCATTCTTTGCATGAGTATTGTCAGGATTCAGTGAGACTCTGGTAAAGCTGACAGTTGTTGAGTATGGGCTGTATTCACCTGTCATCTCGTTTAATCTCATTTAATCAAGATGATTGCCCTGTGAGATAGGACCTGTGATTCTTCCCCCTCCCCTTTTTTATTTTAAGAACCAGGGTCTCGCTCTATTGCCCAGGCTGGAGTGCGGTGACACAGTCATAGCTCACTGCAGCGTCGAACTCCTGGGCTCAAGCAATCCTCCCACCTCAGCCTCCCGAGTAGTTGGAACTACAGACATGCACCGCCACATCCAGCAAATTTTTTTTTTTCAGAGATGGGGGTCCCGCTATGTTGCCCAGGCTGATCTTGAATTCCTGGCCTCAAGTGATCCTCCCACCTTGGCCTCTGAAAGCACTGGGATTACAGGCATGAGCACCCAGCCAATTATTCTCATTTTACAGGAGAGGAAATTAAGGCAAAGAGAGGTTATTCAGCTAGGTGAAGTCACACAGCTGGGAAGCAGCAGAGCAGGGGTTCCAACTAGGGCAGTGTGGCTCCAGAGTCGGCATCCACACTGGTTTCTCCTATGTCATAGGCCCAGCACAGAGCCTGGCACACAGCAAGGACCCACTCGGTGCTAACTCTCTATCACAGGATCAGTAGGATGTCTGGGGAGGGCATGGGTTCCTAAATTAAGGGAGGGTAGAGAGGGAAGCACGGGGAGCGTGGCAGACCCAGAGCTCCCTCCTGGGAAGGCGCATCACTGACCCTGCTCTCCCTTCCTTCAGAGCCTTGCCATGTTGAAGGACGGCTTCCGCACCGACAGGGGGTCTCACTCAGACCTGTGGTCCAGCAGCAGCTCTCTGGAGAGTTCGAGTTTCCCGCTGCCGAAACAGTACCTGGACGTGAGCTCCCAGACAGACATCTCGGGAAGCGTGAGTAGACAGGGCAGAATGCTGGGGGCCTTCCACAGGATGGCAGCTGGGAGGCTGCTGTAGTGGGCAGCTGCCTTCTCATGGCTCACCGGGGAGCTGGCCAGGGGCTCTCTGCGGCGCTGGCTGCTGCCTCAGCCCTCTGGAGCTCTGTTCTCTTACAGACCTCCTGGCCCCAGGAAGATATGATGTGATGCCACGGAGGAAAAGCCTGCAGTGACGAACACCATGGCCCTTAATATTGCCTGGCCAGGTGCTAGCGTCTCTTAATGCTGCACAGAAAGCATGTTTAAAGGACAAAATGTCTTTCTCTGTGTTTTGTTTTGGTTTGGTTTTTTTCATACTCTTTTGCAGTTCTGTTTCCATTTTTCTTTCCCCAACTGGACAGCAGAGGATATTTTCCTCCTGTTAGTCTCAAAACAATGCATGCAGCTTTCAGGCAGCTGCTTGACTCCCAGTTCCTAAGCTTTCCAGTCCTAGTTATGAAGAGTGAAAGCGCTGTCCAGATGTGGCTCAGGAAAAGGTTAGAGTAGGGCTGACCCACGGTGCCTCGTAACTTTTGGAGAGCTTTTGTTTTACTAGAGCCAGCAACATTGAACGAATCCGCCTTCCAGCCTCTGTGGCAAACAGCCTCTAAATGCTGTTCCTGAGGTCCATAGCTGTCTTCCCACTTGTCCAAGGGTGACCGGTGAGCCTTGTAGCCTCTTGCTGCTCTTAATAGACTAGCACAGCAAAAGAGGCTGTCCCTTCCTTCCCCACACCACCATGTGTCCAGCTACTAGCCATCTGCAGGCCAAAGTATTTGTAAAGGAACTGTACCCCTCTTTGTGAGTGCTGGGGTCTTCTCCCCACCTACCCAGTGTTTCACTCCTGACTGCAGCCTCTCTGAGTTTTCTATGGATCCCCTCCCCAGTGCTCCCAGAATGGCTTTCTTGATATTGGCTATCCCTGTTTCCTCCTCACCAACTGTCCTCCACGCTTCTGTGGCTTGAATTGGCACCAAGCCAAGCCATTGGGGGCTGCAAGATGATATTCTGGGCCTTTGGCTTCTGTTTTCAAAGTGATCGATGTCTGAGTGTATGGCTCTTCCCGTGGCCTGAAGGGAGGAAAGTGTGTTTGCTTCACCAGCTTCCCTGCGATCTGCACTGCCAGCCCCATCAGCGGGGGCTATTCTTGGCTACTGCCCACTCAAGCTGCCAAGTCTCTCATGAGCCCTTGAAACCCAACTCAGCACCGGCCACAACAGCCACATAATTCCTGACTTCGTTCTTCTCCTCCAGTTCAGCATCAACAGCAACAATCAGTTGGCAGAAAAGGTCAGATTGCGCCTTCGATATGAAGAGGCCAAAAGAAGGTAATTGGGCTGGGGCTAGAGGCAGGATGATTCAAAAATAGTAACTACTATTGTAGAATGCCTGCTCTGTGCTTGGCTTTTCATACACTTCGTCGTCTTTAATCCTCACAAAGATTATGAAGATAGTTATTATCGTCTTTATATTTTCATCCTCTCTGAAATTCAGAGAGGAAATGACTCACCCAGGACACTTCACAAGATAGAGAGTGAAACTATGCTTTGAACCCAGATCTGTTTAATCTCAAAGCCGAGTTATCTTCCCACTTGCCTGTCTTGATTTCTGTAACCGAGGCTTTCCCATGATCCTGTAAGCATTTTGGTTTGAAGGAGCACAACTGGAGTTTCAGCAACAGGCTAAAAAGATTGTGGACACTACCCGCTTCAGTGTCTCCTGCACAGCTGGGAGCAAGCTGGGCTTTTAAGCAGTATAGACCTCTGGGTTTAGATGTTCTGTGGCTTCACAGAATCCTAAGCAGTCGGGTTCCACTACCACAAATAAAATCAAAATAATAATCAAAGCTGACATTTTTAAAGCATCTGTTACAGGCCTAAACAAATTTTTTTTTTAATTACTTTGTTTTCTTTTTTAGAGACAGAGTCTCACTATGTTACTCAGGCTGGTCTTGAACTCCTGGCCTTAATCGATCCTCCCACCTCAGCCTCCTGAGTGGCTGGGATTACAGGCATGCACCACTATACTTGGCTGAGATTGTTTATTGTACTAAAACATTTGTGCATGCATCTTCTCATTTAATTTTAAAAGCAACCTTATAGCAGAGGGTCTCTCTTATTATCTCCATGTTAGACAGGAAAAAGGTAAGACCAAGATATTTCATGACTATTCCAGATGGTAGAGGCAGAATTTGAACCCTGGACAATCGGGCTTCAAGTTCATGATCTTCCTGTACTCCGAGCCAGCATTACTGGCAAAGAATGCCCTGGGCATTGTGGTGTGGATGGAAGCCAGGCACTTTGCATCCATTCCTTCCTAGACTAAATTGTCTGGCCTGTGGACCTTCTCAGCCAGGCCAGGTGAAGTATGGCAGTGCCCAGCTCTGCCCCTCTGCCAACTCTGTGTGAATAGTAGAACTCTTTGTGGAAACGACAGAAATCTGATAGAAACTAGAGAAAACAAAAAAGGGAATGTATTGTCTTATTTAACTCCAAAGTCCTAAGATACCTACCTTCAGGCACAGCTGGATCCAGGGACTCAGATGATGTTACACAGACTCAGTCTCTCTCCCTTTCTTCACCCTGCTTGCCTTTATGTTGGCTTTACTCTACAGCAGACTTTCCTGTCAAAGTGACAAGGCAACTCCCAGCAATTCGGAGCTTACACACTACCAGGTTAGCAATCCCTGCAGAAAGGGGGCCTACCTTTCCCAATAGTTTTAACCAGCCTTGGGTTTGAGACTCCCTGCCTTTTTTGAGTGAACCAAGCATTGTTACAGGGCAGCTAGGGGTGGGCAAAATTAGAATTCTCTAAAGATCTAGGCATGCGTCATGTTTCCAGTGCTGTGAAGGGTCAGCTGTATGGGAACCAGGTGACTTGAAAGTACGAAAGGAGTGGTTTCCCAAAGACAAATTGGAATATTATTAACAAAAGAAGAACGAATTGAATACTGGTCAGGTAGAAAGAAACAGATGTCCTATGTACTATTTCAGCTCCCCCAGGGGTCCAGCAAAACAGCAAGACCTCTGTATTTGGACAGCCACTTCTTGTCCTCTCTGAAGGGGACCGCTCTGAACCTTGGATCTGTTCCATCCTGCAGGAATGCCTGTCTTAGATGGTCAGTCCTAGAGACACTAAAGGACTGCAGTGTTCCCTCTGGAGTTGAGCCGTTAGACTTCTCATCACAGAGCATTCCTAGCTCATCTGACTTTATCCAGCCTCTTGCTTCCCCCTTCTGCCGAAGCTCATTTTAGTGTAAAGGACAGAGCAGCCTGCTCAATGGGAAAGCAAGCTGCAGGACTTGAAAGAGGGGAAGGGAGGTGTCAGTAATGTAAGGAGGGTCTGATCATTGGATGTCAAGTTTTGTCACACATGCGTTTCTGAGAAGAGAGACTAGTTGTTTTTTTATCAGATTCTTAAAGGGATGTGGCCCGAAATTTAAGGAGCATTGGCATAGGGAAAGAGAAAGTACATCCAATAAAGCATCAGTCACTTCCCAATGTCCTGCGTATGGGGGAGCCTCTGCCAGGCCTTACCATACCATTTCATTGTCAAAGTACTGGAGAACAGCAGCTACAAAATTGTCTCAAAGCCAATCTTGATAGATTACTGTATACATGAACATAAATTTAAATAACTAACTACAGTCAGTCCTCCTTACCCACGGGGATTCAACCAAGGATCAAAAATATCCAGGAAAAAAAAAATTAAAAATAATGCAAATTTTTAAATATAGTGTAACAACTATTTATATAGCATTTACATTGTGTTAGGAATTATAAGTAATCTAGAGGTGATTTAAAGTATACAGGAGGATGTACATAGGTTATATGCAAACACTGTGCCATTTTATATAAAGCACTTGAGCATCCATGGATTTTGGTATCTGGGGTAGGTCCTGGAACCAATCCCCTGCAGATATCAAGGGTCACGTGTATAGGAATTCCTCCTGGGATACTTGGCTGGGGAACAAGCAAATCTAGCTAGGTTTCTCTACGTGGAATTTTTGCTACACATCATGGTGAATTTTGTCCCCAGCAGTGTTCTGATAAAGTAAGAAATGGGCCACATTGTCTGCAGGTAAGATGAACTGGGAGTTCAGAGTCCTCTGGTCTCAACAAGTATTGGCCACATTTATGATTTGCAGTCTTAGGTGCATCATATCCTCCCTGGGCATCTGTCCAACCAGGTGAACAAACTCCTATCTTACCCTTTAGGGGTGGGGTGGCCAGGGCATGAGAGCTGATGGTACTTTGCAGAGGCCAAGTCCTAAAGGATGATGTCATGATTGTTGTTAGCTATTTGTAGCAGTATTCGTTGTTATACTGTGAATCTTATTTTGACTCAATGATAATAATACCGAAGGTCTATATAACACCTGGCAATGTATAAAGGGCTCTTAATGCTGTGTTCTCACATAACCCACCCTATAGGTAGCATGTCATCTCTGCCTTATGGATGAGGATACTGAGTCTTAGAGCAGTTAAGGGATAAGGCTGTCAGCTCTTTCCTTTAACTCTTATTTAGTGCCTGCAGTATACCAGTCACTGTGCTAGAAGCTTGTGATACCAAAATGATTTCTTGAGAAACGGTCCCTTCCATCAGGAAGGCCAGAGCGAGCCAGGACTCCAACTCCAGGCCTTTGAGCCCAAATCCACAGTTGTTCACACAGTGCCACTACCTCTCTCTGACTTGAGAATACGTGGTCAGTAGTTGTAGTCTTAGTGGTCCAGGACTGCCAGTGACTCAGTACTTGCTATGTGCCAGGCACCCTTCCCAATCATTCTGATGAATGAGTTTTTCTTATCTTTAAGGCCTAGGGAATTGGCCCAATGTTACGTACCTAATAAGTGGTCACGCCAGGTCATAACAACAGTAGCGAGGACTTACTATGTGCCAAGTACAGTGCTTTGCAGGTTACAGATTATATCATAAAACCTTCAACCAAAATGGCATGAGGAAAGGGCTTTTGTTATTCCCTTCAGAGAGCTGAGCAACTTGCCCAAGGCCACACAGCCAGTGGTAAGAGGTTAGTGCCTGGTGATGAATTCACATCTCTATTGTACCAGGAACAGGGCAAGGGCATTGCCTTGTTCGTGTCTGCACCCCATCCCTACAGAGCTTGTTGGCACATGGTAGGCACCCACATGTGTTTGTTTAGAAAAAAAAAAATAGGTTCCTTGAGACGACATGCTGATCAAAGGAAGACAGTAACTGTCAAAGATTGCTCTGAGATGTCTGTTTCTTCGTGGCATCTCCTGTTCCCGCAGTGCCATTAGGCACACCAGTCATGCTTGCTTTCTTGGCCCCCAGGATCGCCAACCTGAAGATCCAGCTGGCCAAGCTTGACAGTGAGGCCTGGCCTGGGGTGCTGGACTCAGAGAGGGACCGGCTGATCCTCATCAACGAGAAAGAGGAGCTGCTGAAGGAGATGCGCTTCATCAGTCCCCGCAAGTGGACCCAGGGGGAGGTGGAGCAGCTGGAGATGGCCCGGAAGCGGCTGGAAAAGGACCTGCAAGCAGCCCGGGACACCCAGAGCAAGGCGCTGACGGAGAGGTGGGGCTGGGGTCCCAGGGTGTGTAGGACCCTTCTCTCACTGGCAGTCTGTCCTCAGCCCCCAGATGGCGGAAGGATGAGGGGGCTCCAGGCCTCTGGGCTCCACCCTGAGCGTGCTCAGTTCAGAGATCTCTCAGATTGCCGACATGGGAAATCAGGAAAGATGATTCGCCATCCAGTGCACCAGCTACCCTGGTACTTTGCATGGTGAACCATGCTACCAAAAAGTCTGTTTAGGTGCAGGTATTCAAAAATGTATCTTCTGACTCAATTAAGCCACATAACTCTATATAATTTAAAGCAGTCATTTTCCAATTTTTTGACTGTGATGCACATTTTATACTGTGACCTGACACAAGGTTCACAAAATAGTGCATGCTCTTTCTACCTGTGATGGTCCTCTGATGTTTTCTCTCTTCTACCTGTGATGGTCCTCTGATGTTTTCTCTCTTCTATTGCATTTTGTTTCGTGCAGTTCATGACTCACCAAATTGATTTCACCCCATGCTAAGTAAGGGGTTGCAGTTTGCAGTTTGAAAAACACTGGTCTGGGTGGGGGTTGTAAACTGGCATGCTTATAGGAGCCAAGCAGGTCACAGACATGCTGGAGACCCACCTGGCAGTGGTCTGTGTCAGACCAGAGTGCACAGACCCCACTGGTCTAGAGCAGGTGCTGTCTGTCTCCTGCAGCAAATGGGAGTACAGGCCTCGGGCTGCCAGAGCTGCCTGTACTTCAAACAAAAGAGTCATTTGGATTTTTTATTTTTAAATATTGGGAACTAATTCAGAAGTTTTTTTCAAAAAATGCAAATCAGCCTCATCTATGGGCCTGATACAACCTAAAAGCCACTGGTTTATATTCTCTAATTTAGACCTTATCATAGACATTGTCTTTGTTTATTTCCTTCAGTGTTCCCACCAACCTCCACACCCACACTGCACCGAATGCAACACTGTGTTCACCATAGGCTTTACGCTCTCCAGCTTCAAGTTCATTCATTCATTCTGTTCATCAGCCAATGTTTACTCATTCATTTGAGAAACGCTTTGCTGCACGGATTGTGTGTGCAAGGCAATTTGGGGGATTCAGAAATTAACAAGACATGGTCCCTGCCCCATGACCTTTAAATCTATTATACTTATTTTCACCATGTTTTTCGCAGGAGCCTTTATTCAGCAAGGTCCCTGCCCCTAAGGAGCTTAGAAGTGAAGCTGGTGATTTTCAAGTGTGTGTGTGTGGTGTGTGTTTGGAATATGAGCAAGGGAATTCCTTTTTCTAGTGAAATCAGAGGAAGAAGCCCGGCTTATGAAGCAAGTAAACGTGCCTAGTGCCTCAGTTGAAGCAGTTGGGAATCCTAGAGATGCCTGTCTGTGCTCACTCTGTCACCCCACCATGGGTCTTCCAGGGAGCCTTCGAGCTCTAAGGCGCCCAGCCTGCAGTACCATCCTAGCAATTGAGTGAGCCCCAGTTGCACATGGCATGGTGCCAGGTGGATCAGGTTCACCAAGTTCTCGCCTAGCTTCCCATGGCTTCAGAGACTCTCTTGACTCGTTGATGGCGGGAATCTCTCCCCACTAGTTGCTTAGTCAGAACTGCTAGCAGTAATGTCCAAAGTGTATCCATTTCCTCTCTTCCGTTCTTCACTGGCAGCAGCAGCTGATTAGCCCTGACCCACCACCCGTTGGTGGGAGAAGGAGAAGGACACAGCTTGAATAATTGGTGTTCTGCAGTCCTTCGAAGCACCTTGCTAGAAGTCTTCTTTAGCACCACGACTCCATTATGCTTTCTCTGGGATTTTTGCTTTGGGGATAAGGCCTGTGTCTGTATGCTCACATGCCTTTAGTGTTCGTTGAAAGAATAAATGGTTAGCTGGCCTAGGCAGATCCTTACTAGGCCTCTGTGTATATATCCTGGTCTTTATACCCATTCCCAGGGTTGCTCACTTGCTCCCAGACCCTATAACTGCCACTGGGAAGCCCTTAGCTATTCATAGTCCCCACAGCCAGCAGCTGAAGAGAACAGACTCATGGCAGCTTCACTCCTTGTTGGGTCAAAAGGAACACGCTTCTCACTTGCTGATCTTGAGCAAGTCATTGACCAGTTTGGGTTTCACTTGCCTAATAGGGAAAAAACAGGATACATTAAGTCCTCACTTAACATTTGTTAGTAGGTTCTTGGAAAACTGTGACTTTGAGCAAAACTACATACAATGAAACCAATTTTTTTCCATCAACTTTATGTTTTATTTCTATTTTTTTCGAGATGGAGTCTTGCCCTGTCACGTAGGCTGGAGTGCAGTGGCATGATCTTGGCTTACTGCAACTTCCGCCTTCTGAGCTCAAGCAATTCTCCTGCCTCAGCCTCCCGAGTAGCTGGGATTACAAGTGTGCGCCACCACACCCAGCTAATTTTTGTATTTTAGTAGAAATGGGGTTTCACCATGTTGGACAGGCTGATCTCAAACTCCTGACCTCAGGTGATCCACCTGCCTCAGCCTCCCAAAGTGCTGGGATTACAGGCGTGACCCACTGCAGCCAGCTCCATCAGCTTTATTAAAAAATGACGTTATTTGAGAACTTGATGTGCATCATTTTGCTTAAAGTTGCAGTTAGCAAGAACCTATCTACAATGTTGAGGATTTACTGTAATTACATTAAATACATATATGGTCTGAAGGCAGACAGTTAGACCAGGCTCTTCCCTTCTGTAAAATTGTTGGTTTCTTGAAACTCGAATTGGGGGCTCTTAGGAACCCCTAAGATATACCACATGTGGAAGCTCCCATCCTGTGCCAAGCGGTAGCCTATAAAATCTCATTTAAATCTCTCAGGAACCCTGAGGTTAATCCCTGTTTTACAAATGAGGAAAGATGAGGCTCACCCGAGATCCCTAAGTGCCAGAGCTGAGATTAGAAGACCACAGGTTTGCTAGCCCCAGAGGCTGTGCTCACTTTAGGGTGCTTGCCACTCAGAAGGCCTTCTGTTATTGCCTTCAACCTCCTCTTTCAAAGGTCTGCTGGCTCCTCCGGAGCAGTGAGTTCACATAGCTAGTACAGGAAGGCCAGAACCTCCACTCCTCTGCAGCTGCTGAGCGGGCAGCTCGGAGGGCCTGGTAGGAGAGTACTTGGGGCAAATGCAGTGGTAGGGAAGCTGGAGCGCATGCAGGCAGGCAGCCACGTGTGCCCTAAGAGGAGTCTAAGGAGGAAGCCCATAGGAATGGGGTACCATGCTCATGGCTGTGGGTCTCCCACAGTGGGGAGACGGGAAAGCCGCCCCAACTGTCTTTGTGTCTGCAGCTGTTTCCTTCCAGCTCCATGTCTGTCTGTCTGTGCTCATCCTTCTGACTGGTATTCTGTTTCCCTTCTCTCTTTGTTTCTCATGTGTGTGTATCTTTATTTTTAGTGTCTCTGTTTCTCTCTTTCTCCCCTCGCTCCTCTTTCTCTATTCTCTCTGTCTCTCTCAAAATGAGATTATTATGCTCCTCATCTTCACACGACAGCCTCGCATTCAAGGTGCCTTTGAGGACAGGAATAGACACATCCAGGAGAGGCTGACTGCAGCACCTGCCAAGCCCCGCTCACAAATCAGTCAGACTCACAGGCATCCGAACAAACCTCATCCTACCCTCTGCTCCCCCTCCTTCCCAAGGGCCTTCTCTGCTGCTCCCCAGAGCTGGTGTGCAGTCATGCAGGATGCTCATTAGTGCACGGGCTCCCTGGCCCCACCCCAGGGACTGATTCTTCTGGCCTGAGATGCAGCCCAAGTTGTTACATTTTTAACCACCACCCAAGGTGCTGAGCTACAGCTTGTGGGGACTCCAGCCCCACCTTCTGGATCCTCTGCCTGCCTCCATGCTTGATGCATTCTTGGCCTCCCAGCGTGTGCCAGGCATCACACACGTGTGCCATCTATCCTGCAAAACCCAACACCACTGGGAGGTGGCCTCGGCACCTGTGCATTGCTAGCAGTAGCTAGCCCCTAATGCCAGGATGTCATGGCAGCCCAACTCCCAGACCCCTCATCATCCTGTTGAGGCTTCATTGGGGACCCACATTTGCTCCCAGCCCACACCTCTATGGCTTTTCTCCCACAGAGAAGGGGAAAACCAAGGTAAAAATGGTGAGCCTCGGCTGCTCCTTGATCCTGGACCTCAACTGTTCCTGAGCTTTCCTTTTATACTGGGTCAAGCGATTCCACAGCCTTGTTCATTCTGTTGAAAGTCAAGGATTTTGTTCCTTACGGGTTCTGTCTGTCACCCCACTGTGCACCCCCACCCCAGCCTCAGGCAGGACTCTAGAAGAACAGTGCCAGGGATTGAGCTGACCAAGAACCGTGCCAAGGCCACTCTTCCTGCTGCTCCTGTTGTCTTTTCTGTAATTTCACAGATTCAGTTGCCCAGTAACAAGCCCGACCCACCCCTCAACACTTTTCCATTGTGTCTAGAGCAAGCTCTGGTCTTTACTGCAGGGCGTGTGCTGGGGGCTTGGGTGTGTGGGTAGAGGGATGGCATGACTGGGCTTTTCCATTCCATGGAAATGAGCCCTTTCTAGGTTCACTTCCCAGTCCAGGGACCAGGTAGTCAGTCATCCCCTCTTCAGCAGGTTGACATGAGGGGATGGTGGCCAACAGTGGGACACACCTGTCCATGGAATGTATGATAACATACAGGTGTTTCAGCAGAGCTCATAAACTCTGCCTGCTTCATCTGGAGAAAAAGTCATCCGTTCAGCAAATATTGAGCCTGTCTACCTGGTGGGCACTATACTAGGTGCTAGGTGCTGAGTGAGCAAGACACAGCCTCTGCCTCTCTGCCGTCCCCCTGCAGTGCGGCAGCTTGCAAACCTTGGTGTGCCTAAAGATCACCTGGGAGGCTTAACGAAAAGAGAGATTTCTGGGCCCTACCCCTGGGCTTCTTGATTCAGCAGGTCAGAGTAGGGCCCAGGAATGTGAATTTCAATAAGCACTCCCCACTGTCTGATGCAGATAGTCTGTGGGCCGCAAGCTGAGAAAGACTAGGCTAGTAGACACACGAGAGCAGCCCAGGTCATCAGTTTGCGAGGGCACGGGCTTATTTGATAGGGTCCTTTATTTTGTAGTGGGCCCACTCCAGGGGTTGGGGAGCCATTCCAGGGGCAAAGACACACCTGGAGTCCGCCCAAGCTGCCCTCCATGGGGGATTTCAGGAGAGGTGGGGGCTGAGATATGTTCCTAAAGCCAGAGGTCTCTTCCAAACAGAAGGATTTGCCTCCAGGGAGATGGTTTACTGAATTGGGCTTTGGTGCCAGGCATGCCTGGGTGAAAATCTTTGCTTCCGGTTCTGTGACATTCCATCACATCCACTAACTTCTCCCGACTCTCTGGTCCCATTCTCTCCAGCTCCTTTGCTGACTGTTGCCAGTCTACCCAACCTCGGAATGTTGTGTGTACTCAGAGCTTGGTCCTAGACCTTCCCTTGTTTTCGATTCTGTATTGTGCCCTAAGATGGTGCATGAGTCTGCTAAGGCTGCCATAACAACGTACCACAGACTGACTGGGTGACTTAAACAGTAGACATTTATTTTCTCACAGTCTGGAAAGTAAAAGTCCAAGATCAGATGTCAGCGGGGTTGCTTTCTTCTGAGGTCTCTTCCCTTGGTGTGTAGATGGCCTCCTCCTCCCTCCGTTTCACATGGTCTTCCCCCGTGCCTGTGCCCTAATCTCCTCTTAGAAGGACACCAGTCATACTGGATTACAGTTTGCCCTACTGACCTCATTTTACCTTAATTACTCCTTAAAAGCCCTATCTCCAAATACAATCACATTCGGAGGTACTGGGGCTTAGGACTTCAAAGTAGGATTTCAGGGGAACAAAAATCAAACTAGAGCAGATGGTAATCTCATTCAGGTAGTGATCCATCTGATAGGGACCGCCCCCGCCGACCTTCACAGGAGCCCACCTGTTCAGCGTTCATACCCACATATCCATAATAGAGCTCTTCTCGTCCCCCGGGTTCCCCTGCCTCAGCCTTCTCCTCTTAGCAGATGCCATCTGCAGGTCCACTTGGGTGCCCATAGCAGTAACCACAGAGTCTTCCCCATTTACTTCCTCAGCCTTACCCGCTCCTGCAGCCTAGGCACTGTCTCTGTCTCTGCATTGCTCAAGCCTTCACCATCTCGGTTACACCTCACAGCCACCCTTCCTGCGTTCAGTCTTCAGCCTCCTGCCCATTGTCCTCCCCACAGTCATGGTGACCTCAAGATGACGAGGTCTCTGCTAAAGCCCCCGCTTGGAATGTTCTTTCCTCCTGCACTTTTCCTAGCCAACTGCTGTCCATTATCCATCCTTAAATTTCTCTACTAGTCAGGAATCTAACTGCTGCAAGAAACAGCCCCCAAAGTGTCTGTGGCTTCACACAACAGGCTTATTTCTTGTCCGTATAATGTCTAATTGGGTATGTCCGGTTAACAGGCAGCCTTCCATGTGGTCATTCAGGAACCCAGGCTCTTTCCATCTGTGACACCTCCCACTTTGAGTCCTCGAGAGTCCATGCAAGAGACAGTGAAGAAGACACACCCACTGTTCTTAACTACCTGTGCTCATATCCCATTGGTCAGAACTTGGTCATATGCCCTGCCCACCCGGCCGCAGGGAAGGCTGGGAAAATGGTCCAGGGACAGGGCAGGGTACACACTGCCAGTCTCAGCCACAGAGTCACTTGGCTGGAAGAGGCTCACCTGCCAGTTCAAATTGGGCCTCTCCTTTTGTGTTCTTTTCTACCATTGTGTACTTTTTCTTGATGGACCTTGTCATACACTGTGTTAAATAGGTATTTGAGTATTTGTTTAATATCGGTTCTCCCCAGTAGAGTGTAAGCCCCATAAGAACAGAAACAAGTCCTACTGTGCTCACTTACTACTTTATCCCCAGTGCCATGGGAAGGGTCCAGTACAAAATGGGCACTCAGTAAATATGAGATGAAAGAGGGAGGAAGGAAGAGGAGGAGGATATGGTTGGGTGAAATCCTAATTCTGCCACTAATTCCACAGCTTTAGGTAAATTATACAACTCTAAGGGCCTCAATTTCCTCTTATGTAAAGTGGTAGAAGTCATTCTTACTATGCAGCATTATTGTGTGACTGAATTAAGGCGTGTCCTAAGGTTCCTAGCAGATCGCCTGATATATATATATATATAGTGGGTGAGTGATACTGTACTTATCATAGGATTATAGTGTATGTGGATGCTCTAGCTCCCCGGTTGCCATGGTCAAATGCTTGCGGAAAGTTCTTGTGCCTGTGGGTCTGGGTATACATGGGTAAGAGTGCATGCCTGTGCTTCCTTTCAGGGCATCCCTCTCATGCTTTCTCTCCCTCCAGGTTAAAGTTAAACAGTAAGAGGAACCAGCTGGTGAGAGAACTGGAGGAAGCCACTCGGCAGGTGGCAACTCTGCACTCTCAGCTGAAAAGGTGAGTGTGGGCGGTGAGGCCACTGCTCCCCTGGGCATGGCCAGACATGGGTGTCCCCAGTGTCCCAGCCCAGGCACTACCCTTCACTTGTCCTCCGTGGCTTGAGTGTGGACGTTTAGAAGCACAGCAAGTGGATTGTCAGCAGACTCGGGCGTGGCCTGGTGTGGCTAGGAATAGGGGTCTTGACCTCTCCAGACTGACAGCACAAAGAAGGCCCCAGGCAGGTACTAGGGAGTCTTAGGAGACTTGGCTGGGTGTCGTGGCTCACACCTGTGATCCCAGCACTTTTCGAGGCCAGGGTGGGTGGATCGCTTGAGCTCAGAAGTTTGAAACCAGCCTGGGCAACATGGCGAAACCCCATTTCTGCTAAAACTACGAAATTAGCCAGGTGTGGCGGTGCATGCCTGTGGTCCCAGCTACTCGGGAGGCTGAGGTGGGAGGATGACTTGAGCCTGGGAGGAGGCTTACCGTGAGCCAAGATCGTGCCACTGCACTCCAGCCTGGGTGACAGAGCCAGACCTTGTCTCCAAAAAGAAAAAAAAAAGACTTAGGAAACTCACACTGCCACCTGCCTGTACAACGCAGAGAAAGTAGCCTCAGGCCTGGGCGTCCATAAACAACAGTGCATCACTGGCATCTAATAACAACATTTTGTTTCATTAGATTTTTTTCTAATGGTGGCCTTCTCTTTGTAGTAAGTGATACTGCTTTTCAAATTACACTTAGGATGTAAAGTTTTCTTTAAGATAGATGTTTTAAAGTATTAAAACAGTGAGTTGGGGTGGGCGCAGTGGCTCACGCCTGTAATCCTACCACTTTGGGAGGCCGAGGCGGGTGGATTGCCTGAGCTCAGGAGTTTGAGACTAACCTGGGCAACATGGTGAAACCCTGTCTCTACTAAAATACAAAAAATTAGCCAGGTATGGTGGTGGGCACCTATAGTCCCAGATACTCAGGAGGCTGAGGCAGGAGAATTGCTTAAACCCAGGAGGCAGAGGTTGCAGTGAGCCAAGATCGTGCCACTGTACTCCAGCTTGGGCGCCAGAGCGAGACTCCGTCTCCAAAAAAAAAAAAAACAGTGAGTTGATTTCAAGAAAGACATTAAGAAATTTTTATTTCATAGTGGATTCAACTATGAAAAAATATACAAATGTAGCCCATTGGAGCTTTGGGAAACAGATCTAGAGGAAAAAGTGAACTTTTAAGGCAGCTAACTTGAGTCCAAAGCCCAGCTCTGCCATGTCTTGATTATATGGCCTTCTTGGGGTATCAGTTTTCCATGAAATGGGGTTGAAGGGTCTACCCTAGAGATTGCCAAGCAAGTCTAGTGAGATCATGGTGCTTTCCAGAGCCCAGCAGAGGGGCTCAGGGGGCCCACTTCACTGTGTGCATCTCACTGTCCTTCCCCTCCCGGTGTCCCAGTCTCTCAAGCAGCATGCAGTCCCTGTCCTCAGGCAGCAGCCCCGGATCCCTCACGTCCAGCCGAGGCTCCCTGGTTGCATCCAGCCTGGACTCCTCCACTTCAGCCAGCTTCACTGACCTCTACTATGACCCCTTTGAGCAGCTGGACTCAGAGCTGCAGAGCAAGGTGGAGTTTCTGCTCCTGGAGGGGGCCACCGGCTTCCGGCCTTCGGGCTGCATCACCACCATCCATGAGGACGAGGTGGCCAAGACCCAGAAGGCAGAGGGAGGTGGCCGCCTGCAGGCTCTGCGTTCCCTGTCTGGCACCCCAAAGTCCATGACCTCCCTGTCCCCACGTTCCTCTCTCTCCTCCCCCTCCCCACCCTGTTCCCCTCTCATGGCTGACCCGCTCCTGGCTGGTGATGCCTTCCTCAACTCCCTGGAGTTTGAAGACCCGGAGCTGAGTGCCACTCTTTGTGAACTGAGCCTTGGTAACAGCACCCAGGAAAGATACCGGCTGGAGGAACCAGGAACGGAGGGCAAGCAGCTGGGCCAAGGTAGAGAGCACCATGCCCAGAGGGTGGGAACCGGGAAGAGGGAAAGAGATACTCTGTGCTCAGAACCCCCAGTGATCATTCTAGTCTGTATTTACTGACTGCTTTCTGTGTGCTGGGTCTTTGTATGGCAAGTATATTTATTCAGTGGGATATTTATTAGCTCAGTATTTTTGAGGTCCCGTGCGAAGGGTTTTTGGTAGTAGATTCTGTCTTCCAACAGACATTTAGCACCTTATAAAACTAAGTGTCAGGTCATCCTGTGCTAATGGATACACATGGATTCATCTGTCCATTCATTCAACAGATACGCTGTGTGTCAGGCACTGGGTTGGTCACTAAGGATTCTGTGTTGAAGACACACAGGGTCCCTGTTCTCATGAAGCTTATGTTCAGATGGAGGCACAGGGAATGAACCTGCAACCAAACAAGCACTACAAAGGAAATAAAACAGGGAATGTGATCCAGGCTTTCAGGCTGGAGGTGGGACTGCCGGGGCAGGTTGGGTTGTGAAAGAAGATGACATTTGAGGGTGTCTTGAATGGTGAGATGGAGCCAGCCTTGGGAAAAGCAAGAGCAAAATCTCTGAGGTCAGAGCAAGGCAATAGAAGGGGAGCCAGGAAGCCGTGAGTCAGAGGTAGGGGTTACCAGCGAGGCTGGAGAACTAGGCAGAGTCCCGATCCTGAAAGGCCTGGTGGGCTATGCTAAGGAGTTTGGATTTTATCCTAATTGCACTGGGGACCCATGTGTCTGTTTGAAGCTAGTATGATACGAGCTGACTCCCATTCTGCATGGGGTCAGAAAGAACGCTTTGGTGGATATTGGTCGGGATTTAAGTTGGAATCTTCAAAACGGAAGATGATGCTGACATTGACAGCTAAGATTTATTAGGGGAAAACCTTTTTATCTTTAGCAACAACCACATAATAAATCATAATAGTTAACTTTTATTGGGGATGTATTATGAGTTGGGCAATGTGCTTAATATATGGTGAAATTGGTTATTTCTATTCTGTCCATTTCACTGATGAGGAATTGGAGATTCAGAGAGGTGATGTCACTTGCCTTAGGTCACCCAGCCAACAAGCGAGGAAGCAGGGATAGGAACCTGAGTCTTTCTGGCCCCAGAACCCAACCCCTTTATTGTCATGCCTTAGGCTGGGAGGCAGTTCAGTGTGCACATTCATGCCAACTCCTGGTGCTTGGGGCCCCACCAACCCCATCTGGCTCTGGGTGTGAAGGTCAGGACTGAGTAGGGTGCTGGGTAAACTCACCTGGGCCTCCTTGGCTTTCCTGGCCACAGTAATAATAGCTCACAATAATCATAGCGCTGCTATATAGAGTACAGGTGTTTAGGATTCAGGTACTTCTGTGCATATTTACTCATTTAAGCCTCACAACACCTCTGGGAAGTGGGTGCTTTTTTTTTTTTTTTTTTTTTTTTTTTGAGACGGAGTCTCACTCTGTAACCCAGGCTGGAGTGCAGTGGCGCCATCCTGGCTCACTGCAACCTCCACCTCCTGGGTTCACGCGATTCTCCTGCCTCGGCCTCCCAAGTAGCTGGGATTACAGGTGCACGCCACCATGCCTGGCTAATTTTTTGTATTTTTAGTAAAAACGGGCTTTCACCATGTTGACCAGGCTGGTCTTGAACTCCTGACCTCAGTTGATCCACCCGTCTTGGCCTCCCAAAGTGCTGGGAGTACAGGCGTGAACCACCAAGCCCTGTCCCTTTTATCCCCATCTTAAAGATGAAAAAAGTGAGGCACAGTGAGGTTAAAAGACTTGTCTGAGGTTAGTCCCACAGAGTGAAATGGCAAGACCAGGACTGGCACAAGGACTACCTGCTCAGAATGCACACTATTATCCATGTGCCGAGTTCTGTCTACAAAAAGCTTGTGCTCCTGGCTCCAGGTGAGGCCAGCTAGAAGCAGCCAGACCCATATTAGCCCCGTGGCTCCAGGCATGGGCATGAGTGCTGCTGCTGTGCCCAGAATTGTCCATTTGTGTGCAGGGGCCAGGGGGAGCATGGTAGGGAAATGAGGTTTCCTTGTTAACAAAGGCTTTGAGTGCCAGTGTTTCCTTAGAAGAGGAGCCGGGAGATCCCTGGATTTCCCTCATCAGGAAGGGAGTCTTGCTGAGTGCTCTCAAAATAAAAGCAAGCGCCCTACTATAGCAGGCGGCAAGCTTCAGAAAATTGTTCCCTGGAGAGGAGGGGGCACCGGTGGAATCTCTAACGAGGCTCAAGGGGCGTGCCTCTGATGGCAATATTAAGCCAAGTCAGGACACTCAGAACCCAGCTATGTCCTGTGAAGTGACCCCCTCCTCTCCCCTCCCCAACAGTGTCCTTGGGGCTTGTGGGCCTAAGACAGCACATTAGGCTGGGCACACACAGGTCTCGGGATGGCATTTCCTTCGTGCCATCTCCAGAAGCCTTCCCTACGGCGAGCAATGCCAGGCAGAGCTCAGACGCTAAGCAGGTTATGTGATTAGTGCTGCTGTTCAGTCAGCAGACAAATTAATCTCCTTAAGTGGTTTAGTGGAGGGTGGAGATGTGTGGGTCTGAAAGCAGGAGGTCTCCACGGGCTCAGCAGGCACGGGACACAGGCTTGGCTTCCCCATCGCCAGCACTTGCCATCTCCCAGACCCGCCTTGTCACCCATCGCCATCGCCAGCCTGCCATGCCCCGGACTCTGTGCCCCTCAATGCTGCGAGCCGTTGCCCTTCTCCAGTCTGTCCGCAGGTGCTCAGAGGTGTTAGCTGTGAGATTGTAAGATCTGGATCTGGCCTTCCCCCCTGCAAGAAGGGCAGGAATTGTCTTATTCATCTTTGTAGTTCCGAACATGGCAGTGGGCCTGGCATATCGTGGGTGTTCATTACTTGGGCAAGGAAGGAATGTGCAGCATGTGTTGAGTGCTTAGTTATGAGCCTCAGATCAGAGACTTTCAAGGACCCCTGTTAAGGGTAGGGAAGAGGAGGAGCTGAATTAGGAGTGGAAAGGGATAGGCAGTGGAAGAACGGGTGCTTAATCTCTCCCTTCTCTGTCCTGAGGGTCCAGGGGCTGTTATTTTGCCCCAGGTGGGTAGGGATGGATCTATTAGGTTGGTGCAAAGTAATTGCGGTTTTTGCCATTGAAAGTATAGATATCCACAGTGATAGGAACAGTAGTGGCAATAAGGATAGCTGTAATGAGTTCTGTAGAGCACTTTGCCTGCCTGCACCAATCTCTATATTAAGGATTTCCCCTATAATGTCTCGCTGAGTCCTCTCAACTTGGATAATAATAAGTAGGTATTATTATCCAAGTTTTCCAAATGAGGCACCTGGGGCTTAACGGGATTAAGTCAGTGTCTCAAGGTCATGAAGTAGTAAGTGGTGGAACTGGATTTGAATCCATGCAGTTCGACTCCAGAGCCTGGGATGGTAAAACACAAAATTACGTGTGACTCCTTCCATCACCCTAAAGCAAACTTAAAAAAATTTTTTTTTGCTTTAGCATTTAGAGGTGGTTGGAATTTGGTGGAACCATCTTTCATCCATAGAGAGTGTATCAAAATTGGGAGTTCAGGCTCCCAAAATCCCAAAGTGTTGGGATTACGATGGCTCATGCCTGTAATCCCAGCACTTTGGAAGGTCAAAGCAGGCGGATTTCTTGAGACCAAGAGTTCAAGACTAACCTGGGCAATATGGCAAAACCCCATCTCTGCAACAAAATAATAATAATTTAAAAATTATCTGGGTATAGTGGCACATGCCTGTAGTTCCAGTACTTGGGAAGCGGAGGTGGGAGGATCACCAGAACCCAGAGTGGTCGAGGCTGTAGTGAGCCACGATCATGCCGCTGCACTCCAGCCTGGATGAGTGAGACCCTGCCTCAAAAACAAAACAAAATTGGGAGTTGCAAAGACAGTTTTCTGGTTCCTGAACCTGACTTTCCATTTTCCTTCTCTAGCTGTGAATACGGCCCAGGGGTGTGGCCTGAAAGTGGCCTGTGTCTCAGCCGCGGTATCGGACGAGTCAGTGGCTGGGGACAGTGGTGTGTACGAGGCTTCTGTGCAGAGGTGGGTGTCTGGGTGCTGGCTCTCTCCGTGGCCATGTAAGCCATGAACTCTGAATATCCAGAGCCTAGGCCTGTGGGGTGGCTTAGGTTTTGGCCCCCACAGTGTGTGGGAGGAGCCCCAAGAGGGCGTGACCCCGCCTTCCTCTTGGCAGCCCAAGGCACAGACAGCATAACTTCTCCTGGGGTTAGAGATGCTTCGGGTTTAGGGGAGTGCTAGTTCTGTGGTAGCTACAAAAAAGGTGTTAAGGAGCAAGTGCTAGAGAAAGGCCAGGCCCCTTAAGAGAGGAGTCCAAGCTGGGCATAGTGGTGTGAGTCTGTAATCCCAGCTACTTGGGAGGCTTCAGTGGGAGGATCACTTGACACCAGGAGTTCGAGACCAGCCTGGACAAAATAGTGAGACCCGATCTCTAAAAATTTTTTTTAATTAAAATTTTAAAAAGGACCTGGAGGGAAGCTGAGCAGACCCCAACTTTCCTTCCTGGGGATGTAACCCCAGCCTCCCAAAGCAGTTTGTTCACTGCAAGGAAGCCTAACTCCCCCTCCCCTGTTGCCTTTCAGACTGGGTGCTTCAGAAGCTGCTGCGTTTGACAGTGACGAATCGGAAGCATTGGGTGCGGCCCGAGTTCAGATTGCCCTGAAGTAAGTGACAAGGACGATGAGGATAGAAGGAACAGTCTGTGTGGGGTCCCTTCTTCATCCGCAGCATTCCCCTGCATTTACCTTCATAGCCGCCCAGGGTGGAGGGCAGCACCAGCAGGACCTGCTGGCCATTGCAGCTTCTTAACTGAAGGGACGCCGATTCGTTCCTCACCTCCCAGCCATCCGCTTTACAGATAGGAGAAATGAGGTTTTAAAAGACCTTATGACTTGGCCCAACTCACGGAACTGGCTGGTGGCAGAGCCAGGACTGGGACTGAGACCTCCTGCCTCTCAGTGTGTTTGTTCGTTGTTGCTGTGGCTTTTGTCTTTCCATCCCCTCTAGGTTTCATTGATCTGGATGGAAGTTGATCACTGGGGGCTGCAGCCCAGATTGGGTCAATACACACATGGTTGTTCTTTTTGTTTTCTCTTGTTGGGGGATGATCTCAATTTTTTGTTTTGTTTTGTTTTGTTTTTGGAGACAGGGTCTCACCTGTCACCCAGGCTGGAGTGCAGTGGTGCGATTTAGCTTGCTGCAACCTCTGCCTCCTGGGTTCAAGCGATTCTCCTGCCTCAGCCTCCCAAGTAGCTGGGATTACAGGCGTGTGCCACCACGCCCGGCTAACTTTTATATTTTTAATAGAGATGGGGTTTCACCATGTTGGCCAGGCTGGTCTCAAACTCCTGACCTCAAACGATCTGCCTACCTTGGCCTCCCAAAGTGCTGAGATTACAGGCATGAGCCACCACACCTGGCCTTCAGTATTTTTTAATAGGAAGTAGTTGACAACATTCCCATATCATGAAATTTCACCCACATTTATGGGTTCTTTTTAAAAATTCAGACAACTGACTGGGCGTGGTGGATCACACCTGTAATCCCAACGCTTTGGGAGGCCAAGGCAGATGGATCACTTGATTCCAGGAGTTCAAGACCAGCTCAGGCAACATGATGAAACCCCGTCTCTACTAAAAATACAAAAAATTAGCTGGATATGGTGGTGCACACCTGTAGTCCTAGCTACTCAGGAGGCTGAGGTGGGAGGATCACCTGAGCCTGGGAGGTCGAGGCTACCATGAGCCCTGATCATGCCACTGCCCTCAACGTGGATGACAGAGTGAGACCCTGTTTCAAAAAAAAAAAATTTTTTTTTCAAACAATTGACAGCTCTCGCTCTACATCCCTGCATGGCAGCAAAGCACTGGGCCTATACTCTTGAGCTCACCATAGTCCCCAGGGCAGCCAACAGCCACGTCCTGTGACTTTTAACAGAGAGAAGAAATGAGAGAGATGAGCGTGTTATTAATAGGTACTTCATATGCCCCTTTTCATTTCAGGTATGATGAGAAGAATAAGCAATTTGCAATATTAATCATCCAGCTGAGTAACCTTTCTGCTCTGTTGCAGCAACAAGACCAGAAAGTGTGAGTATATAGCTGGACGGGTGTGTATCATACTCTCACCCTCCGGAGTCACCCCTGGGGGTCACTTTTCTGCCCTGTCCTGATCCAGTTATGGGCCATGTCAAGACACTGTGGGTTTGTAATGCATATGGCTGTGATGCTAAATGTCAGTACTGTGCATGTGAATACAGGCACAATGGCAAGCACACCAACTGTAAAGACAAGCACTCTAGATGACTGTGTGAATTCCTGCCCCATGGCATGCTGAGCACCTGCTGAATGCCAGCTCTAGGAATGGGGTGGTGAGCAGATCCTGGGCCCTATCCTCCTGGACTTTGAGCCTCATGGAGAAAAATGGTCACAGTCTGTTTTATCTTCTCCTAAGCTCAAGTGTTTCTTGCAGAGAGAGCTGGGTCTTCTCTTTCCAAGAGTCAGCACCAGTCAGTGTGCTTCTCTTGGAGGGGTGTGACTGCGTGTTACCTTGATGCTGATAGGATGCAAACACCTGCTCTGTCCGCATGCGGGCTCCTCCCATGGTAGATGGGTTTATCCTTTATTGCACTCATCTGCCTACAAGTTTTCTCAGATCATAAGGCCCAGAGGGTGGCAACAGAAGCTTATGTGTCTGTGGTCTACACCCAGCCAGCCTGTGAGGGTGGCAAATATGGGAAGAAGGAAGGACAAGAAGGCAGACAAAACAGAAGGAAGACAAGATGGGATGCTTGGGTCATTTTCAGTCTTTTGCCCACCCAGATGGTGCCAGGCTGAATAGCCTTCTCCATAACTCACTGGTACTCAGGCAGGGGTATCTGTGGGATAATGCCTAGAAGTGAAGGGTCTGGACCAAAGGACAAATGCATCTGGAATTTTGTTCGATTTGTCAAAGTTTCTTCCAGTGTATGGGGCCTGATTCCCCAGATTCCTCAGTTCTACAAACTCTCATCCACTGTTGTTTGCTTAGGGATTTCAGCAGCTGTTTAGTTCAACACTTTAGCCCCAGACATGGGCTGACCCAAGGTTTCCTGCGGTTCTGTCTCCCTCTAGGAATATCCGCGTGGCTGTCCTTCCTTGCTCTGAAAGCACCACCTGCCTGTTCCGGACCCGGCCCCTGGACGCCTCAGACACTCTAGTGTTCAATGAGGTGTTCTGGGTATCCATGTCCTATCCAGCCCTTCACCAGAAGACCTTAAGAGTCGATGTCTGTACCACCGACAGGAGCCATCTGGAAGAGTGCCTGGTAAGGGCCGTGTCTGGCTGGTTGGCTGGCTGGCCTTCTGTGTTTATGGAGATTGGTCCACCCTGGGCTTCAGGAAGAAGGCTTAAAGGAGACGCAGGTTGTGCTATCAATCAGGCTCATCTTGGAGTCTAGGCAGCAAGGCTTCCACAGGTGAATGTTGTTCTCAGACTTAGGGTAGGAGGGAAGGAACTCTTTCGCGAGAGGAAGAATAATGGACCTGAAAGTGCCTTTTAAAACTGCCAGAACCTGGAAAACGCCGCATGCCGCAGCTTTACTATACAGCATGAGAGATTAGATAAGCACAGACTATGGCTGTGTGGTGGCTTTTGTCTGTAATCCCAACCCTTTGGGAGGTCAAGGCCAGAGGATCGCTCAAGTGCAGGAGTTCGAGAGCAGCCTGGCAACACAGCAAGACCCCATCTCTACAAAAAAAATTAGCCAGGCTTGGGTGCATGCTTGTAGTCCTAGCTACTCTGGAGGCTGAGATGGGAGGATCCCTTGAGCTGCAGTGAGCTGACATGCCACAGTATTCTGGCCTGGGCAACAGCAGAACCCTGTGTCCAAAAAAAAAAACCACACACAGAATAATGAAAACAAACACATAGGCCTTCACATCCCACCTTTACCACTTGCTGTATAGCTGGATGACCTTGGGCAAAGTACTTAACATCTCTGATCCTCATTTTTCTTATCCATAAAATGCAAATGATAATGCCTCCATCATGCCCACTAGAAGGATCTTTATAAGGATTGAGATAGCACCCGTAAAGCACCCATTCAAGTGTCTGACCCACAGTGGGTTCTCATTGAATGGGGCCACTGCTAGTCTCCTCCCTGAAACTGACCTCCTCTGGCTTCCATCTCTCACTGCATTGGCAGGAGTCCGGACTGGGAATGAAGTAGCCCAGGTACATTGTGTCCTAAGAGACAGGCAGACCCAAGTGCAGACAGATACTCAGCTTTCCCATCTGTAGAAGGGGGATTTATATAATAGCTAACTCGGGCTTACGATGTACAAGTGAATTAAAAGAAGTAAAGGGCTTTGTTAACCCTGATGCCATTTAGTGTTAGAGTATTTCATTGATAACTCAACTGTGAGCACGAAGGAGCCCAAGCGTGGGCATTATACCTAGAAGGTTGCTCCACTCATGCTCAGATCTGCACTGGGAGCTTATTGTGTCCCCACCCCTGTGTCTGCGGCTGGGGATTCAATGGGGAACCAAACAGACAAGGCGCCAGCATTGATGGCTAGGATGTAAACGAACTGTGAGGAGGGCCGTGTTGGAAATGGATGGGTTGAAGTGATGGAGGAAAATGTGGGATGCCTGCAAAGGGGAGAAACAAGATGTGTACACCTCTCCAAGCCTCTCCTGCCTCCATGTCTGGAAGCTGGAATGTGGAGCTTCTCACTGCCTTCTTGGAGGGCTCACCCTTTTCTCCTGCTGTAACTCACAGGCGTTTGCCCAGAGAAGGGAATCTCTTTGCTCTCCATCCTTGCCTTGATCTGCATGCTCTGTAAAACCCTTCTCTATCATGGCATTGTGGGGCCACATCCTTGGATTGTGGCCTGGGGCTGTCACCAGGCTTGCCCTTCCAGCTGTGTCTCCTCACAATCTTCAATTCTCAGTCTCATTTCCCTTATCTGTAAAATCTGGCTCATACTGCCTTCCTGGAGGTGGTTCTCTGAAGACTAAACAAGGCGCCAAAGCAGCGCTTCAAACTGTGCCATGCACACAAGTTACCTGGAGCTCTGGCTAAAATGCAGATTCTGATTCAGCAAGTCTGGAGCAGAACCTGAGAGTCTGCATTTCTAACAAGCTCCCAGGTGAGGCCAATGATGTTGTTACTGACAATAATGCAATAATTAATGCCAGTAGGATGCAGTTTATATGGCAGGCACTGAGCTAAGCTCTTTATGTGCATTATCTCTGTTTTTTTTTTTTTAGTTTTAGACTGAGTCTCCCTTTCAGTCTCTGGAGTGCAGTGGCGTGATCACAGCTCACTGAAACCTTCGCCTCGCAGGTTCAAGCAGTTCTCCTGCCTTAGACTCCCGAGTAGCTGGGACCACAGGCGCACACCACCATACCTGGCTAATTTTTGTATTTTTAGTAGAGGCGGGGTTTCGCCATGTTGCCCAGGCTGATCTTAAACTCCTGACCTCAAGTGATCTGCCTGCCTCCGCCTCCTAAAGTGCTGGGATTACAGGTGTGAGCCACCGTGCCCAGCCCATTATCTCTATTGATCCTCGCTCCAACCTTGCAAAATAGGTAGCGTATTCCAGTGGAGAAACTGAGGCACAAAGAGGCGAAAGACTTTTCCTAGATCACACAGTTAGGAAAGTGGCAGAAGCCATATTTGAACCCCAGCGGGTCTACCTCCGAAGTCCACACACGTCAGTGCCTCTGTGTTGTCTTTTTGCCAGCACAGGGCTCCCTGGAGCCCAGAGGTGGGGGTGGTGACTTGAAGGGGTTGGCAAGCCTGGTCTCCTCCAGCGAAGCATTCCCTTGGCTCTGGGCATTCCTAAACGAGAAGAGGCTAAATCCTATTTTCTTCTCCTAATTGGATGCCTTTTATTCCTCCTTCCTAATTGAAGTCTGGTCATTGCTGGTTGCCATAGCAGCAGCCAAAGCGCTCATCTCACTGTGGCTTGTCTCTGCCTGCGGCCAATGGGAAACCTCCTTTCCCGTATGCGGTGGGGACATGGAGTGTCAGGCTGTCGTATTTTGGTGGCTGGAGGAGGAGAGGAAGTGAGATGGGAGGAAAAAGGGCCTGTCCGCTCCCACGCAGAGACTCCGGGCAGCAGGGTGTGTGGAATCCCCAGTCCGTTTTCAGCCAGGCAGCAACAGCATCTGTACTGAGCCGAGTCTATGTGTCTACCAGTGGGCTAAGAACTTCGTGTGCAGTATCTCATTTAATCTTCGCGATGGCCCCAGGAAGATAAGGGATCAAGGCCCAGAAAGGCTAAGTAACCTGCCAGGTCGTCCAAGGAGAAGATGGCAAAGCCTGGATTTGAACAGAGACTCCAGCTGCCTTATGTGTAGCCATCACACCATGCCACTTCTCAGGAGGTTACTATGAGTGTCTCTCATGTCCCCAGACCCAGATTACAGGTTTGGAGGACTACACAGCCCACCTTCCCAATATCGCAGGCAACAGTTCCACCAAATGCCCTAGCATGGCATCGCAGGGGGCCTAGTTGCCCACTGCTCTACTGCTGCGTTCAGTGCCACCCAGCCCAGGCTCTCTCGAGCTAGCCTGCTTCTCAGGCCCCACTTACGTCCCATGGTTCACCATTACAACCGTTCCCTTGCTCCCTCTCACTTTGGCATACTAACTTGGCAAAACCCCAGCCCTGTCAAAGCGAGCTCTCCACCCCCTCCTCTCCAACTGAGCAACTGGAAAAAAAAATGCACACAACCACGCTGTATGGTGTCATTTGGAAATGGTAATCACTCACTTCCCATGAGCCCTGAATGCTGCCCAGAAATCATACTGTATCTCCCTGGATGATTTACTCACCCACTCATCACAATGACTAATTCATACTTCTCTCAGGGAGAGAAGACAGAACAGACTCAGAAGAGGGCCCCCATACCATATCTAGCTGTTCTTGTAAATTCTGCCATTTCCCTGGCTTCTGAGGATGGGCCTTCTGCACTCCTGTCGGAGGCCAGCGCCCCCATTTTCTCACAAGGACATTACTCCAGCAGCCATTCCGCTCTTTCCTCTGTCTTCAGTTTTCCCTCTTCCACTGGATCCAGCCTATCAGTATACCATCATGCTATTATTTCTCCCATGCTCAAAACAAAACAAACGTTTTTTTGACTGAGGATCTTGCTTTGTTGCCCAGGCTGGAGTGCAGTGCTGTGAACTCGGCTCACAGCAGCCTTGACCTTCTGGGCTCAAGTGATACTCCCATTTCAGCCTCCCCAGTAGCTGGGACTACAGGCACATGCCACCATGCCTGGCTAATTTTTGTATTTTTTGTAGAGATGGAGTCTCACTATGTTGCCCAGGCTGGTTGAACTCCTGGGCTCAGGGAGTCCTCCCGCCTCAGCCTCCCAAAGGACTGGGGTTACAGGTGTGAGCCACCACACCCAACCTAAAACTTTTTCGCCCCATTTCCACTTCCAACTACTACATTGTTTCTTTCGCTTTCTTTATAGAAAAACTTGAAAGAGGTGTTCCCTTCCTCTCTGTAACCCAATCTACGTGGACTTTGGCCCTCATCTTTCTTTTTTTTTATATTTTTTTACTTTTATTTTTTAATTTTTGAGAGAGAGTCTCACTCTGTCACCCAGACTGGAGGGCAATGGCATGATCTCGGCTCATTGCAACCTCCACTTCTTGGGTCCAAGCCATTCTCCTGCCTCAGCCTCCCAAGTAGCTGGGACTACAGGCACGCATTACCACACCTGGCTAATTTTTTGTATTTTTAGTAGAGTGAGGTTTCACCATGTTGGCCATGCTAGTCTCAAACTTCTGACCTCAAGTGATCCGCCCACCTTGTCCTCCTAAAGTGGTAGGATTACAGGCGCGAGCCACCGTGCCTAGCCTGGCCCTCATCTTTGTACCAAGGGTGTCCTCATCATGTTCATCAGTGAGCTCCTTGTTACCAGACCAGAGGCCAGTTCTCCATCTTCCTTCTGGACCTGCCAGCTACACTTGCCGCAGTTGCTGACTCCACCTCCCTCAACATCCTTTGCCCTTGCTTGGCCTCCTGGTTACCTTGCTCTTCCAGTGTTCTCCCCTCACCTCTAGCATCTTGGTCTCCTTTGCTGGTTCTTCCTCATTTCCCTGACCTCCCTATCTCAGAGGGCCCAGGGCTGGGTCCTTGATCCTCCCCTTTTCTACTCGTTTCCTTGGTGATCTCATTTTATCTCCCAGTTGCAAACCCATCCCAAGTGCAGGGCTCCAGCCTGGGCCTCCCCACACCCCTCGAATCTCTTACGTCCACTGCCTGTTCTGCATTTTCACTTAAACATAAAATAGGACCTCAA